CATACTGTAGAGTCCAATCCCTCAATGGAAGATGATTTCGATTGGTGACGTAATGAGAAGAGAATGGGGAGATTTATGAAATATTTCGTGATCAATTAGCTAAACTGATCCGTCTATATGACAGACTTGAAAAAAAAATGTAAAGCTTAGGCTGTAACGCGCTGTTTTTAAAATTTTTACATGAATAAATTGAGGCGCTTATCAGTGAAAGGGCGTAAGAGACATCTGATGATTGTGCAACGTAGTTCTCTGGTTGCAAGTAACTTATACGACAGTTCTGCTATGAATTTATCCCAGAATAATCTGCTCTGAATTTTTCCTCGCTATGGTCAGGAAGTAAGTCGACCGTGAATAATTTTCAACTCCTGCGAATTCTACATAATTATATGAAAAATGTCACAATATATTAGCAGCATTGCAAGACTCATACCCCATTATTTACCGAAAAAGTCCTCAATTTTGCATGGTTTCTCTAGTATTTGGACACTACGAAGCAAAAGTGATGTATCTGTTCAGAGATGATTAAACACCATCTCCCGTTTTGTGATGCTTTAGAAATTATGAGCTTAATCTTAGAATCTTAAGGAATAAACACTGGGGGGGGAAAAAATTAAAATTTGCTGCCGAGAAATGTTCTTCTTGCATCAAGAACGGTGTTGTTTCATTAAAACTACTTTTTTGCTCATCCCGAATATTTTTTTCTTGTTCTTAGAGAACTTAAGCTTAAATCGAGACGAAAAAACCCTCTTGTTGGCAAATTCAAACAAAATCATACTGAAGCCAAGCACTTTTGTCAGTGTACCGAGTCACCCGGGTATTACAATTCACAAATGACCCGAGACGTAAGTGCTGAAATTGAAACATGAAAAAAATAAAAAAAAAGGAAGATAAAAGGATAAAACAATTTACTGGAACGCAGAAAACTGAAAGAAAACCGGGGGGTTTACTGTTATCTCGATTAGGAAGATTCACACGTGCAAATAAACCGAGTCGCTGGCAGTTTTTACAGTCGAGTCTGCTAGTCGCGACTTCGTCCAAATCCGAACCCAAGACACGTTCGCCGAATAACATAAAAACGCTGCGACTCAACCTGCCGTGCTAAGGGAAAACTCAGGATGAGCCCGCGGATGTTGCCAAATTTACTTCAATAAAACACGAAGTTTCCGGGAAACTTTTTGATACTTCTCTTTCAATTTTTCAGATATTTTAACACGCTATTTTGATCTGAGGTATCTGAAAAATTCAGAGAAAAATATTCATAGCATTGCTAGGAAATGGACCACTAGACAAGGTACGAATTTAAGCATTCTGATACATGTTTTTTAACCAAAGTTTCACGTAGAATACGATGCGCACAACAACAATTACCGAAACCAACTCCTTACGGAGATATTTAATGATTCCTGATGCGTGAATTCAAACCACCCGCTCAATAAAACTCAATGCTCTACGTGATTCACATCGCGCGTTGAATATTATCGTGACAGTCTCTGCGATATGAAAATCTGGCAACCACAATTTTGGCGCTTTGGCTCAGCTATAGCAAGTTGCTTATAATTTGAACAACACATGGTGGGAAATGAACAGTGCTCGATTAAGAGGCTTGCTGAAACTGTTGTAGTGCGCGATTTGACTAACGTAGAGCTTTGAGTTTCTTGTGAGCGGGCAGTTCAAAATCCGCGTAACCAATGTGAAATAAAAAGGTTAATATCTTCATCAGGAGCTAGTTTCAGTAATTTTCGTTGCGCGAATCGTGTTCTACGTGAAATTCTGATTAAGAAACATGTATCAGAATGCTTAAATTCGTACCTTGTCTAGTGGTCCATTCAGAGAAAATATTCACGGCGTTGCAAGAAAATTGATGTTTCATTGGGTGCATTTTGGCAACGTTGGAATGCTGATACGTTCTTTCTGAGTGCGGCAGCGATGCCGGAGAGAAATCGCGTCCGACGATCGCACCCGAGGCGGAGTCGCGAAGTGCTCACGTGCGGCAGGAGCGCCGGGATAAAGCGCCTTCAAATAAAAACGATACGACAAGCTGTACATACGTGAGCCGGGGTTAAAATCAAGACCGACCGGAATTCTCGAGAGGGATTTTACGAGGTCTTGCTTCTTGATCTAACCGAAGGAGGATTCTCTCGATCCTCCTTCGGTGCTCACCGAAGTTGTTGAGTTGAGTTTTGAGTGAACTCTTCGTCTATTTGGACCGCGATAAGCAGAAAGGAACCAAGCAACATCAGCTATATTGCGTTATTGATTGGGCATTTTATTTTCTTCCATGGAAACAGTTCTGCGGATTTGAGTGCAAATTTCAGTGAATTTTCTGCGAAGTACGTGGCAAATTCCTTAATATCGTCAAACGAATCCGCTTAAACGTTCTCTTGTGAAAAATTGAATTGCTGATTGCCAATTGCTGCAATGATGTGGTTTGGTTCCTTTCTGTTAATCGCGGTCCATTTCAACTATTCCTGGCTTGTGTCCCCCCCCCCCCCGAAAAAAAAACAAAAAACTAAAACACGCGTTTTTCTGACTAATACTTAGGGATCATTTTGTTGGTCGCCGCTTAAATAGCTCCCTCCCTTAAGAAGACCGATTGAGTTCAAAATAACGATTGACTGAGATTTCAGAGGGCCTTTAACATCGAATCAAATGGGAATTAGTTGAACTAAACAGTACAATTCAACTGTGTTATTTCATGCCTGGATCCATTCATAGTACACCGATATTTTCCGATCAGCTGAGTTTGAGTTTCAATGGCGGAAATGAGATTTAATGTTTCTACAAAATTTGAAATTGATACAGAGCTACCATAAATTGGGGAGAACCGTAATTGATTTGTTTGTTTCCGAGGGCAAGTCATTAAAATCTACTAGTGAGGTAATTCACTTGACTTTTTATCAAATCCAGTAGAGGAAATTCTTTAATTTCTTCCACTTTCATTTCTTCTTTGTTCTTGATACTCCTTCAAACCTAGTAATTTTACGACACTACTGTCAAACGGATATTACTTTCAGATTGTAATTTCATTGACTCAGATTTTTAATTTTTAGCGATTATTACAAAAAAAATTGGAGGCAAAATTTCACTTACCTGTATCAGGAGCAATTTAAATTTCAGAAACATGGGTCAGGAAAATTTACTGAACGATAACCTATTATTTTATTGCATTCTAGAGATAGGAACAAGATCTGCGGAAGTTCTTGTTTTTTAAACAAATTACTGAGAGCGAGCCGATAATTGAAATTTTCTTATGTGAATTTCTACTCGATTTGACGTTTGAAAGTCGAGATAGAGGCTACTCTACTTTTCAGATGATCTCGCAAGATTTACAACGTTGCAAAAAAGTACTAAAATTGTAAATTTCTCGAATATTTCCAGTAAAATTTGGTCCTCTCGTAAATACGAGTCGAAACTTTTTAATTTTGTGACCAAGCGTGCTTTGTGGTGTAGCTGACAGACTACAAGTTTAAACTTTTCCATTTCAATTGAAACGTGCATTAGCCCAACTCATTTTAGTGAGGCAAAGTACGAACTAAAGCACTCCATCACACGCTTCCACTTCAAAATCTTACGCGCGCAAAAATATTCTTACACCGGGAAGTTGTAGGAGATAAACGCCCCTAGAAAATACGAGTAAAGCATTTATTCGTAACTAAGATTGGTTGAAGGGGAGAAAGTAAAAGTCACAACGTTTCAACGATTTTCGTTGCATTTTAGCGGTGTTAAATGTAATTGTTAATATAAATCACCTTGGGGGTTAATTTCCTAACTTCCGTTGCGTCTATTGCTTTTCATGTAAAAATACGAAGAAGAATAATTATGTGAAGGGTGTGCTTTATTTCATGCTTTAAGATATTTTTTTTTTTTTTTTTGGTATTTGATGCAAAATAAACTTAATTTTGTTTGCTGATCGTTCTGATATATGACGTCGGAATGTCGTAATAAAGGCTCCAGCAAAGGCCACGGACTTTGAAAGGAGTAATTTGTAGTAATAATAGTTCTAAAATCGCACTTCATCGATGGAAAGGCAAAAGTGAGAGTCGAATTAATCTCTTCTCACCTACGGGTTGCCTTTGCGTGTTGCACTCATATTTGAAGAAATAACATTTCGTGACAATCAACAAGCCCCTTAATTATGATTGCAATGAGCAACGTGTTGAGCAAACTGCAAAGGTAGTTAAGCTATCTTCATACCATTAAAACGGGGTTTTCAAGATGGGATATCTTAAGCATTCGATAGTCCGACATTTCTTACTTCACTTTTGTCGCAGAAAATTCGGTTCATTGGATTTTATTACGGTTAAGCTGTAGACTAATCCTTTCTCATTTAGTGGTCTCTTCCCTCGGTTACTTTTAGCTATAGGTACATACATATGAGTCGCTTTCATAGCGCTCTCTGGCGTTCTGCGACGCCTAATTGCCACAAAACACGGTCTTTTCACAACCCGTCAGGGAGTAGGTATACTGGAAAAAAGCCGCTTGGATCTAGAGTCCAGACTCTTAAAAACATTGACATCTGACCGGTGCACTTCGTTTGGAATGCGAGAAGTATTCATGCCGTCTTGTAGGCGCTAATATGCGCGCCACGCCGACCGCACTGTTTGGTGCAATACGTGAAGTATTCCACCAGAATTTTACGTAGAACACGATTCGCGCAGTAAAAACTACTAATATCAACTCCTGCATAGGAAAAAAAAAACACATTGGATCTAGAGTCCAGACCCTTAAAAACATTGACAAGAAAAAATACTCTTGATTCAATCGGATTTTTGCTTAAATCGAGGACCAAGCCTCTTAATTCAAGTGGATTTCCTTTTGATGCAAGCAAAAATCGGATTGAAGCAAGAGTATTTTTTCTTGTCATTGTTCTCAAGGGTTTGGACTCTAGATCTAAGCAACTTTTTCCGGTGTACTCCACCATCATCTCATTAAAAACCCCCTGTCGCCACACAGTGGATCGAGTCAATAGGAGAGGTCGGACAAACTTTTGAAACTTTAAACGCTTATAACTCCATTTATGCAAAATTTTGAGGTTCTAAAATTGATTTAATTGGTTTTCTCGTGACATTTTCATCCGGGAGCACCCCTTGACATTAAAAATATGACGAAATAAACATCAAAATTTGAAGTTTTAGTCAAAAATTTCATGTCCAACCTCTCGAATTGACTCGATCCACTGTGCGCCACCCTTTCTCGAAGGGGACGCCCTTCGTCTCTACTTTTAGCTATTCATTGCTAAATTTTCAAGCAGCACGTGTTGTCGAAATAAATGTTTTTTGTACCGGAAGAATCGATTTATCGATCGATTTGACCTCAATTTGGCGGAGGAAAGGGGTTTCATAATAAATGCCACGTATCGCCCACGAACTCCAGTGACCCAAGAGCCCAGAGCGTCAGGGCGTAGGGCGCAGGGACCTCGTTTCATACATACCTGATGGGATACCAAATTGCTACTTGCACAAATTGACTGACTGCAAATCCGCGAGCTCGTCTGTAACAGAAAAGAGGGAAGAGGAAAATTAATGCTTTGTTCGGCTTACGGGTTCTTGAACTTTGTCGCGTCAGCTCCAAAGGAAATTCTAGAGCAAAACCAACCCCTTAAGTAAACGATAAAAAACAAATACATCAGTAAATACATGAGAAAATTAAAATTAAAAGTGGATAGGAAATACGATTAAACTGAAAATGAAGGAGCCCTTAAAAAAATTCGACGGTGTAAGTCGGCAATCGCATAACTCGGTTTGCGACGTCGCAGACTTCCTGTCATACTTTATTTTTTTTAAACGGCAAACTGCTCGACGGGAATTCTTTAAAACTGCCGTGATTTTTCTTCTCTGTGGGAAGAAACTTCTGCAAAAACTTTAGGGAATGATGCCAATTTGTTCTCCTTTAAAAAAATAACATAGATGCGGAGATTTTCAGACACCGCAAACGAGTTATGTGATTGCCGACTTACACCGTCGAATTAGGTAACGTGAAATGAAAATGGGCTAGTTCTGGGTATATGCGTTCATCTACATTATACCGTAAGTTAGACGGTGTGGATTGGGGAATATATTAAGTCTATGTAACGCCTTCATTTCACAAAGTATATAACAAAGGATATTGTGTATAGCAATAGTTATCTACTCGAATGGTTGAAGGCGCCTTGCGAAACGAAATTCTGAACGCCGGCTCTCAATTTGAAGATGCGAATGGCGTGCTTATTTTCCTATGGAAAACAGTTACGCTCGGTGATCATTCGTGATACAAAGTATGTTCCTTTCCTTGAACTCGTAAAAATGCCGGTATCCACGATTGGTACTATATGGATGGACAGACAAAGTATTCTATAACCAGGTTCATACATTCTCGATTTACAGATGGAGTCGATTAGAGCTCCATTATTTCACTGAAGAATTTGTTGTCGTTGGAATCGCTTATGGGAGGAGCTGAAAGCCAAGGGCATATCGCGGAAATGACAACTGCTTTCGCACGCTCGAGCGAATCTATCTTTCCGACGATATCTGTCGACGAATCTAGACTCTGACTTAGAAAAAAAGTACCAGCGGAGACGTAAAACTGGAAAAATGACAACAAGAGGCTAAGTGTCCACCACTTGGAAGCTTCACTTTGAACGTGTGACCAGCGGGCTGATTGTTGAAATAAATAGACAAAGGGATAGACAAAGAAGACATGGGGCGTATGGTGCGATCCTATTAGTTGAAATGGGTGATTCATAAAGACTAAGGGAGAAAATGATAGACTAACTGTAAGGTCTCTCGTGGGTGCCCGTTAGTCAGTCTATTACCTACCCTACCTCCTATGTCCATTTGCAACCACCCGCTTCCACCAATAGGATCCCTCCATATCCCTGTTGTCTCCTTTGTCTATAGCTTTGTCTATCAATTTCAAGAATCAGCCCGCAGAGGTTTTTGGCCATTGCTGTGTGCCTATTCTATTTCCTCGTGTAAGTTCGAGCCCGATACTTGACTTCGTGTGATTACACAAAGATCTCAGTCGATGAAAAACACGAGTAAGGGTTCTGGTTACGGATTGGATCTTGGAGATAGACGCGGCGCACGGCGCGATGGTCATTGAGTCCGGAAAAGGCGCAGGGTGTAGCCGGGGGCGACGGGTCCCAATTACTTGATGGGCGATGGGCTGGGCCCCGGGCTGCCCCCCTCCCCGCCCGGGGTCGGGGCAGTTGCAGTATTGTTCGAGGCCGCGCCGCCGGCGACACGCTACGCGGCTGCGACACCCGCAAATTCTGCCACAACTTTTCAACAACCACTCCGCTCATCTCTCTACTATACTCCATGATGCCGTGCTAAGGAAAAACAACGGACGAGCATTCAGACGTTGCCAAATTTTCTGGAATACAAAACGAATTTTCTGGGAAGCCAGCGAATTTCTTTCTTCAAATTTTTGCAGATAATAGGGAATTTGCAGGTGTCTGAAATTTGATGAATTTCGTGTCTGAGTGGAAACGACTGATGACGTCTCTAGGCGGTGCATTTTCTCACTTTTAAATCGATTTTTATACTATTCCCCATATCAGAAAATTTTTTTAAAAAATACTGTGAAATCAGCTTTAAGCACATTCAGATAAAGCAATAAGTTTTCATGCAAATTCTCCATTTTATTCGCAATTTAATCTGAGGCATGTGGAAGTTTTAAAGAAAAATGCTCATCGATTTCCAAAAAAATAAATATTTAATCGGAGGAAATTTGGCAACCTCTTAATGTTTATACGGTGTTCTTCCTTAGCACGGCAGTGCGGCAAGTACCTCCGTCACTCCTTTGATTTAAGGGCGTACTTCAATTTTCACCTGAGCCCTGGAAAACGTGCAGCTATACCGGCGACAGGGTGCATTTTAAAAAGTAGTTCCCATAAAATATGAATTATGGCAGGAACTAGACAGCGTCGCAAACCGAGATACGCCGTTTTTGCAGCTTCACCGTGGACAGGGCTCACGTAGCGTAGATTTCAATCTGGCTGATGAGCTCGAAACGAGCGATCGGTGGTTAAATCAGACACCTTCAACTCTGCCGTGCTAAGTAAGAACGTCATAAGAGCTTTCAGGTGTTGCCGGATTTCCTTCAATAAAATACGAATTTTGAGCGACATTTTTTTCCAAATTTTTCAGAGCATTACATCGTAATTTAATCTACAATTTCTGAAAATTTCAAGGAAAAATATTCACTTAAATTTCATCAAAAATGAATGTTTCATAGAGTGAAATTCGGCAACATCTATATGTTCATAGTACGTTTTTCCTTAGCACGGTAGTGCAACTGTGCTGGGCGGGGTGGTGAGAAGGGGAGGGGGGGGCGACGGCATTCACCCCTCGGAACGTATCGCCGCTCCACTGACGTAAGCGCGTAATTCGATTTTCGCATGAGCCCCAGAAAGCATGAACATGTATAGATAGTAGCGTAGCATGCTTTGCGATCTATCGATATTTCCCCATTTGAAGTTGTGGTAAATAATCGATTATTAAGGTGCTCGCCGCGAACACCCTGTTTATCGATACTTTCCATAGGTTTAAAGGGCCGATATATCGATACATCGCAATGCATGTATAACAAGGCTCACGTGGAAATCGAGATACGCCCTTACGTCAGAGGGGCGCCGGTATGTGTGACAGGACAGGGCGATCAGCTGATCAGAGATGAGTTGGGTCGGGACCCGGGTTTGGACGTCGGAATGGATGAGGATAGGAAGTAGGAAATGGGAAATTGGAAAAGGGGAATGGCGCGAGACGGGGGCGCGGGGGGCGGGGAGGGGCGCGGAGATGTCATCGTCATCGACAACGCCCTTCCCCAACTGAATAAACACAATAAAAGTTACGGGCAGGTCATGGGTTATTTCCCAATTGCATTCACAATCGCTGCTCCCGCGCCGATCCCGGTGTTGGCCGACGTCGCCGCCGCGTGTGAGTGCTTCGGTTCCTCGTTTCCAACCGGCAGGTTTTCACAACTGGTTTTCCTTTATGGGCCCGTTTGAATCATTCCAATTCTCGACGAATTTTATCGTACGGGATTAAGAAATGCAGTTTTTTTTTGTTGTTAGTTTTTTTTCACACCTAAAAAAATACAGGAGTATTGTGTAGGGAACTTCGAGGGAATTTGGACTACATTTTGCAATTTGGAACTATAAATTCTAGCCTGGTTTAAAAACAACCTATGTGCCATTAGTTTCCCTATGCACATAAATGTTTTTCTAGAAGAGCCAGAATTTATAGTTCCAAATTGCAAAATGCAATCCATTTGTGGTTCTACCATTTGTCAGGGTTGCCACAAAATTTAGAAGCAGAAATTCCCTGAAACTTCCTTGATCAGGATGTCTACTAAAATAGACTGGCCAAAAATCAGTATTTATACAGTACTTTTTCAGTATATTCCCAAGAAATTCAGTACCTCCTCGACAGAAAAATTCAGTTCTTTTTCAAAGCCTCCGTTCGGGAAATTTCAAAATTTTGAATTTCTCGCTCAAATTGCGACAAAATGAAAAAATTCCGGACCTCCTTGCGGGAATTCCGCCCTTTTTCAGCACTTCCGGACCGCCCTTAAAAAATCAGTACTATTTCCGGACTTTCCGAACTTGTAGACACCCTGCTGATGGATTTTCGTGAAATTCCCTAACAACTGAAGATATGCTAGATAGTGAAAAAGACGTAATTAAAAAGAGTTTTCAGAAAAATGTGTTGTTCGAATAACGTCAAACCTTTTCTAAAAGTCAAATAAAGGTGACTTAAGGATTTTTCCGTGGCATTTTCGTCATTTTCCCTGAAATTTCAAGGTTTTAGCCGACTTGAAAAGATTCTCTGACATTTGTTGGTATTTTCTGACTGTGGCAACCCTGCATTGTTCATTGTAAAGGCTTTTCATCAAGGGAGTCCGGGGAGTTTGGATCCTTTTCCCTGTCCCGTCATAACTAGAAAATTTTCCCGTGAAAAGGTCATTTTTCGTAATTTTGAGGAAATTTTTACCCCTAAACGCCGCTCATATGAAAAATTTTTGACCGTAGACCCCTCCTCCTACCTGCCATGAACAATTTCGGCAGCGCAACTTGTTCGGTCAAAATTATTTCTATGTAAGACGATCGTGAGTGAAATTATACTATTGGAGGGCAACAATGGACAGAAGAAATCGAGGAAAGAAAACTCGAATATTTCGGCCGAAATGTGACACATGCGCTAATGCTGTATTAACTCTAGGCCTTACAGCCGAATAGACCGGATATCAACTGTCTGTCAGCTTCGTCTATCGTGTTTCGTATTGTTTTCCTCGAGCTTTTCTTAAACATCTACAATAATCGACTGAGACGATGGCAATACGAAAGACAGATACATCGTTCTTATGTGACCCAAATATCCTTTGAGCTCTCTCGACACGTCACCTGAAGAATAAAGCCTGTAAAAAACAGGTGAAAAAGTAGATGAACAGCTGAGGGCTTTACTTTTCTCAAAATGCCAGGGATCTTTGGTTGGGGCTCATCAAAATGGT